CTACTGGCCCTCCCCTCCTCCTTCATCCCAAACAGAGCCCTGGTTTCTGTTACCAGACGGCTGGATTGTAAGGAGGAGACTGCAAGAAGGGCTCTGGCAGCAGCATACTCCTTAAGAGCAAGCAAGCAAGCAAGCAAGGAAGGGTTCAACCAGGGCTGTAACCAAGGGGAGGGGGGGTAGGGGTTACCCCCCCCCCCCATTTTCAGGTTAAAAACCTGGTTTACTTATGAATTTTATTTGTTTAGCTAATTCCCCATGCTAAGTCTATGCAAAGCAAAAATTAAACAAGTCACTCCAGAACTGCAAGCACTATCACTAGCAAATTTTGATAATTTATTCAGCCATTACTTGCAGGAATAGCTGATACAGTGGAAGCAACTAAATTGGCCTACCCATAACTGGCAGGCAAAAACTAAGGCATAGAAGGGATTTGAAGCGCCCCCCCCCCCCCCATGAAGAAGACCAGAAAATTGATTTAATTAAGTCTATATGAAATATGGAATGAATCATACTATTTAAATTATTTTGTATTGTGGCACTATTCTTCATGATTCACTAAAAAAATCCCCCCCCCCCCCGAATTTTTTTTCTAGCTACAGCCCTCGGTTCAACACTGAGCAAATGGGTGGGGTGGAAAGGGAAGCATTGGATCCTTGCTGGCTTGAGGAGGCTGCTCTGCCAGAGTCCTGTTCACGGACTCCGTCTTTTAATCCAGCAACCACCACCTGTCACCTGAGCTTGCAAACAGGATTCTGGCAACAGCCTCCTCAGTGTTCGCCTCTGTGGTCTTTAAAGGCTGGGAACCATTTGCCCAAGAGCAATGTGCCCTCTTCCATTCCCGGGCATGCTGCCCAAAGAAGTTTAGCCTATAATCATCCTTTTTCTAGAAACAAACTTCTTATTATGGCATGGGTGTTGGTTGCAAAAGAAAGAACCCAGTCTGGATGGAAACCAATTTACCAACAACAGTGGAATAGTTTTGAAGTGCCCACAGGCTTACATAATGTTAAAAGAGGGCTCTTTTCCCAGAGACTAGGGACTTGGGAGCTTTTGCATGCAAAGAATGTGCTCTGCCACTGAACTATTGTCCCCATTTACACACACACACACACACACACACAAACCCTTCACTGTTGTATTTCATTTGTAACATCTGCATGCTGTTCCAGTGAGAAGTTTTCCTTAGCATTAGGAAATCACAGGCTCTGCTCAAATAAAAAGGCATAAAACATATAATTTAAGACAACATAAAATAAGATCACAAAACAGAAGCAAAACTTATCAACACGCAGGGTGAACTTCATTATTTATGAAATAGGATCTTAATCCATCTTTCATTTCCTTTTGTTTGGTGTTTTCCTTAGATTGAAACCCTAAAGGCAGAGAACTGACAGATTAATGATTTATAAACTGCCCTAGGGCCTTTGAGGTTAAAGGGCGAGGTATAAATATTCTAAAATAAAACAAACTGTGGCCTTTAGGGTATAAAATCTCTACCTGGAAGCTTTGAGGAGTCAAGAGAAAGCCAGGGACTGGGTGTGGTCCCTGAACTCCTCCTTCGGCTACCAGGTGTTGCATCTCCACTTTGGCAATCATATTAAAGGAGGGGTCTTGGCAAGATTCCTTCAGAAGGTTTTTACTAGGGCATTTGAGGCTTAGAGTATGTGATTCAAGGCTGGATTAACTATTAACTAGGCAGGCACAACAGAAATTTCCCATTGCCAGATTTACCATTGGCCACAGGGTACAAAACTGCAAATGGTGCAGCTGAATCAGGCTGCACAGAAAGGTGCTCCCACACTGAATGAAAACAAAAATACAAGCATACACACACACACACACATATACAGTAATTAAAAATTGTAATGATAGAAGTTACCGTAATAATATATATTAATTATATTGTATGGTTTATTATTGCTTATCTTTTGAATTATATATATATATATATATATGGGGACACCAAAATCTTTTAAGTGCTTAGGCAGGTTTCCATGGCTGAGTTGATTTAAACCCTGGGGTACATCTACACTGTAGAATGAATGTAGTTTGACACCACTTCGACTGCCGTGGCTCAGTGTTATGGAACCACAGCGGCCCCTTCCGCACAGCTGAATGAAATCCCACATTTTCTGCTTTGAACTGGGATATATGGCAGTGTGGACTGAGGGCCCTTCCACACAGAACTATATCCAGAATATCATGGCAGAAAATCTGACAATATCTGCTTTGGATTGGGTTATCTGAGTCCACACTCAGATAATGTGGGATTTTCTGCCTTGATATTCTGGGATTTAGGGCTGTGTGGAAGGCCCTGTGCCCCCCTAGGCCCCTTCCACACAGCTCAAAAAAATCTCACATTATCTGCTTTGGATACGGATATATGGCAGTGTGGACTCAGATAACCCAGTTCAAAGCAGATAGTGTGGGATTTTCTGCCTTGGTATTCTGGGTTATTTGGCTGTGTGAAAGGGCCCCTAGTCTCCAGGGCAACAGAAAACAAACCCACTCCCTCTTCCTTTATGACAGTGATTCTCAACCTTCCTAATGCCATGACCTGTTAATACAGTACCTCATATTGTGATTACCCATAATCATAAAATTATTTTTGTTGCTACTTCATAATTCTAATTTTGCTACTGTTATGAATTGTAATGTAAATATCTGAAATGGAGGATGTATTTTCATTCACCGGATCAAATTTGGCACAAATACGGCTGTGTGGAAGGGCCCTGAGTCCACACTCAGATAATGTGGGATTTTTCTGCCTTGATATTCCAGGATATAAGGCTGTGTGGAAGGGCCCTCAATGGAGGAAGGAGTTACAATGACAGGAAAAGAGAATCCACCTGAACTATTTATTTATTTATTTATTTATTTGGAGCATTTGTGTCCCATCCTTCTCAACCCCCGAAGGGGGACTCAGGACAGCTTACAACTGGCAGTCATTAGATACCGACAAAGAAACAGTTAGAGCACAACAATTAACATGAGCAAATCAACAGCTATAAAAATAGACTAAAAGGCAATAAAAATACATTAAAAATATTGGCACTTAAAATATTAACACAACCAAGTCTGAGTCCGCAAATCTAAATCATAGTCCAGAGTTCCAGTCCAAGGTCTCTTAATTAACAATTCTCACAAGTCATTACAGTTGTTGCTCAGAATGCTTGGTTCCAAAGTCAAGACTTGAGATTTTTCCTGAAGGAGAGGAGAAAAGAAGTTGCCCTGATTTCACTGGGGAGTGCATTCCACAGGTGGGGGGCCACCACCGATAAGGACCTGTCTCTTGTCCCTCACCAATCACGCTTGTGAGGGTGGTGAGATCAAGAGCAGGGCCTCCCCCGACGATCAAAACTCCGAGGAGGGTCATAGAGGGAGATCCGTTTGGACAAGTAAAGTGGGCTGGAACCGTATAGGGATATAGCAGAAGAACTAAAGTGGAGCCCCAGGTGGCGCAATGGGCTATTTATATATATATTTATTTATGACATTTATATGCCGCCCTTCTCACCCCGAAGGGGACTCAGAGCGGCTTACAAGTAAAAAATAAATACGATATATTATATTATTATCATAGCACAATATTAATATTATATATTACATTGTACTATAACATTATACTGTAATATTATTAGTAATATTACATTTAATATAAAGTATATAATTATTATATCATTTTATTAGTAGTAGTAGTATATTGTATTACATTAAAATATTATCAATGTTTTATGTATATACAATATATTATATTATATTATATTATTGTATTATATTATGGAGCCCCCGGTGGCGCAGTGGGTTAAAGCGCTGAGTTGCTGAGCTCAGGCATGTAGCCGAGGGGGGGGGGGGGGGGAGCTTGAGGGGCTTCAGCCCCCCCCCCCCGAAATTCTCATGGTGGTTCGCGAAAAGGCCTTACTGGTGCATTATTTAAACTGTTATGTTTATTCATATCATGATCTGATCACCATACTCAATATATCCCATATGCATGGGGGTATTGGGGTAATGATACAAAAGGTTTGCTAGGCTAGACTCTCTTTCACTCAGACTCAGCCCCCCCCCCCGAAACTCACCCCCGACCTCCCCTGAAAAAATATCAGCCCCCCCCCCAGTGGCGCAGTGGGTTAAAGCACTGAGCTGCTGAGCTTGTTGATCGAAAGGTCACAGGTTCGATTCCAGGGAGCGGCGTGAGCTTCCGCTGTCAGCCCTAGCTTCTGCCAACCTAGCAGTTTGAAAACATGCAAATGTGAGTAGATCAATAGGCGGGAAGGTAACGGCGCTCCATGCAGTCATGCCGGCCACATGACCTTGGAGGTGTCTACGGACAACGCTGGCTCTTCAGCTTAGAAATGGAGATGAGCACCACATCCCAGAGTCAGACATGACTGGACTTAATGTCAGGGGACAACCTTTACCTTTTTTATATTATATTATAAGCACACTGGTTAAACCCTTGTGTCAGCAGGACTGAAGGTCGTAGGTTCGAATCTGGGGACAGCGCGGATGAGCTCCCTCTGTCAGCTCCAGCTCCCCATGCGGGGACATGAGCGAACCAGTCGTCCCCTGGGCAACGTCCTTGCAGACGGCCAATTCTCTCACACCAGAAGCGACTTGCAGTTTTTCAAATCACTCCTGATACGACAAAAAAAAAATTCAAAAACATTTTCACATACATTAAAAACAGAGAAATGACTTTGGCTACAGTGTGGAAAACAGCAAGCCAGGCATAAGTGGTCATAGCAAACAGTTAAAATCTGCATAGGATATAAAAGGAAGGAAGGAAGGAAGGAAGGAAGGAAGGAAGGAAGGAAGGAAGAGGGAAGGAAAAGGAAGGAAGGAAGGAAGGAAGGAAGGAAGGAAGGAAGGAAGGAAGGAAGGAAGGAAGAACTTCCTGGTATTGATCCAAAGGCGTTTTCTTGGGCGGGGCCCCTGTTGCCTAGCAACGGCGTCAGGTGTTGCCGGGGAAAGCCTAGAGGGAGGGGCGCCCCCTCTCGGGCTGAGCCAGGCAGCGCTCTCCCTCCCGCCGCTCTTCTGCTTCTGCTTGTGTCGCTGCTTGTGCTGCTGCTACTGCTGCAGCTTCCGCCTGGAGATGAGCCTGGGGGCGCTGACCCGCCCGCTGTCCTGGGACCTGGAGCGCCGCCTGCGGGAAGGGCTGTCGGGCCCTCCGGCCGGCCTGGGATGGTCCCTGGCCCTCTGCTTCGGCGCCGCTTACGCCTGCTACTACCTCAGCGCCGTCGCCAAGGTCGGGGCTTTCTTTGCAAGGGATGAATGAATGGATGGATGAATGGGACACGGGTCTCGTGGCAGAGGGAGGGGAGTCCCTGAAGGTCAGCGCGTGCCCTGCTCCGGAGGCTTAGAGTTTGGGGGGTCCGTGCCTTTTTGGCTGGGATGCACTGCCAGAGCCGGGCTCATCACCTGCCCGTTTGCGCATTGCTCACTGCAGAGGGAGCCTGGCTGGCCAAGGAGAGGCAGGCAGGCAGCAGGGCGAACGGGAAGGATCTCAAGGCGGGATTCAATTAGGAGGGCCCTTCCACACAGCCTTATATCCCAGAATATCAAGGCAGAAAATCCCATAATATCTGCTTTGAACCGGAATATACGGCAGTGTGGACTCAGACAACCCAGTTCAAAGCAGACATTGTGGGATTTTCTGCCTTGATATTCTGGGATATAGGGCTGTGTGGAAGGGCCCTCAGAAAAACAGTTCAAAGCAGATATTGTGGGACTTTCTACCTTGATATTCTGGGATTTAGGACTGTGTGGAAGGACCCCCAGATAACCCAGTTCAAAGCAGATATTATGGGATTTCTGCCTTGATATTCTGGGATATGGGCTGTGTAGAAGGACCCTGAGCCTGCCTTGTGTGTGTGTGTTTCCATTTTTTATGCAAACCAGACAAATGATTTCCAACAAAACTTTTTTTTCAAGGTAAAGATTGAGCATCCTAATCTGAAAATATTTATTTATTTACGACATTTATATGCCACCCATCTCACCCCAAAGGGGACTCAGAGCAGCTTGCAAGATATATATATATATATATACACACACACACACACACACACACACACACACACACACACACACACATACATATATATACAACAAAAGATTTTCCCAGGCTCAGCCAGGCCTTCAAATGCTAATGAAGGTGGTCAGTTGAAACATTCACACCTAGCTGCAGCAGAGAAGAGCTCTTTGCCCCACCCCAGCCATTCCACAGATATATAAACCCATTGTCCTAATTCCAACAGACCTCACTACCTCTGAGGATGCTTGCCATAGATGCAGGCGAAACGTCAGGAGAAATGCCTCTAGAACATGGCCCTATAGCCTGAAAAAACCCACAAGAACCTTATAATTTATGATATTATTAGCATAGTACAATATCAGTATTACATAGTACTATATTATACTATACCATTATATTGTAATATTATTACTAATATTACATGTAATATAAATATATAATTATAATATCATATTATTTGTAGTAGTATTATATTGCATTACATTACAATATTATAAATATTATATGTATATAATTTCCCTTTTTTATGCAAATCAGACAAATGATTTCCAACAAAAGTTTTTTTCAAGGTAAAGGCTGAGCATCCTAATCGGAAAATATTATTCATTTATTTACGACATTTATATGCTGCCCTTCTCACTCAGGGAGGCTTACAAGATATATATATACATACAATATATTATATTATTAGCATAGTATAATATCAGTATTAAATATTACTATATTGTACTATACCATTATATTGTAATATTATTAGTAATAGTACATGTAATATAAATATATAATTATAATATCATATTAGTAGTAGTAGTATTATATTGCATTGCATTATAATATTATAAAAATTATATGTATATACAATATATTATATTATATTATATTACATTATATTATTAGAATAGCACAGGAGACAAGGTGGAACTGTGTTCTGCCTCCCTCTCTCTTCACTCTGGCCCAGAGCAGTAATTTAAGATTTTGGGAGTTTTGGATTTGGGGGGGGGGGGGGGCGGATATACAGGCTGTCCCCAAGTTACAAACAATATTGTTTTATTGATGTCCAGCAGGGGTATGTATATCCTTACTAACATTACGAACATTTTAAATCTCATCCATTAACTGTGGAGTCCCCGGTGGGACAATGGGTTAAACCCTTGTGCCAGCAGGACTGAACACCAACAGGTCGCAGCTTCCAATCCAGGGAGAGCGCGGATGAGCTCCCTCTGTCAGCTCCCATAAGGATGGTAAAACATCAAAACATCCGACTGTCCCCTGGGCAACGTCCTTTCAGATGACCAATTCTCTCACACCAGAAGCGACTTGCAGTTCCTCAAGTAGCTTATGACACGAAAAAAAAAATCCATTAACTATAAAACAGCTTTTGGAGCCCTTCAACACAGCCCTATATCCCAGAATATCAAGGCAGAAAAGCCCACAATATCTTCTTTGATCTGGGTTATCTGAGTCCACACGGCTGTGTATTCCAGTTCAAAGCAGATAATGTGGGATTTTCTGCCTTGATATTCTGGGATATAGGGCTGTGTGGAAGGGTCCTTGCTTGTAATGTAATGCAACATTTCACAATACAGGTAGTCCCAAATTACGAACAAGATAGGTTCTGTAGGTTTGTTCTTAAGCTTAATTTGTATGTAAGTTGAAACAGGTACATTTTTAGGTGTAACACTAGCCATATACATATATATATATATATATATATAGAGAGAGAGAGAGAGAGAGAGAGAGAGCACACTTTGGATAGCATAGGGAAGGGTAATAAAGACCCCTGTGGTGTTTATTTTACTGCCTGTGCCCCTGTTCATAAGATTTCATCTCACTTCCTGTCTTTGTCATAATTGGATTTTGAACATTTTGGCTTGTTGCGCAAACAAGGATAGGGTGATAAAGCTTCATTCGATACACCTTTTCCCCATGATAACTCTTCCAGGAGTGCATTTCCCATCCAAGGAGTAAATTTCTCTGACTTCCTGTTGTCTCACCCTTGTTTGTAAGTCAGATGTTTGTAACTTGGGGTCTGCCTGAAATTACTTAATGAGATATGTTGGAAAGGAGACTATGTTTGAAACCTGACATTCATTTATGTCTCATATATACCTTCCTGAAGGTCATTTTATGCACAAAACAAAGTTGGTGTACATTGAACCACCAGAAAGCAAAAGTATCGCTGCCTTAATAATGCCTTAAAAAAATACAATACCATAGATCATATACAGCATATACAGGACATTACATTACATGTAATACCTTCTCATTTCCCCCCAAAATGTTATTAAAACATCAGACGCTTTTGTGACTTTTGGCCCATCCATATACAGGCAGTCTCCAAGTTACGAACAAGATAGGTTCTTTAGGTTTGTTTTTAAGTTGAATTTATTTGTAAGTTGGAACAGGTACATTTTTAATGTGTGCCTCCAGCCATATATGTGTGTGTGTGTGTGTGTGTGTATGTGTGGCTGTGGTGGTATAATGGGTTAAACCCCTGAGCTGCAAAGGTCAGCAGTTCGAATCTGGGGAGCGGAGTGAGGTCCTGCTGTTAGGCCCAGCTTCTCCCAACCCAGCAGTTCGAAAACATGCAAATGTGAATAGATCAATAGGTACTACTTCAATGGGAAAGTAATGGCCACATGACCTTGGAGGCTCCTACGAACAACACCGGCTCTTCAGCTTAGAAATTGAGATGAGCACCAACCCCCCAGAGTCGGACACGACTAGACAATGTCAGGGGAAACCTTTACTTGTGTGTGTGTGTACACATGCATGCATGCTTTGGATAGCATAGGGAAGTGTTAACACCCTTGTGGTTTTTATTTTGCTGTCTGTGCTTCTGTTCAGATGATTTCACCTCACTTTCTACCCCTGAGATAACTGGATTTTGAAAAATTAGCTTGCTGTGAAAATAAATATTGTTGAGAAAGCTTCAGTGGAGACACTTTTTCCCCATGACAACTTCTGGCTGTTTGTAACTTGGGGGCTGCCTGTTCTCTCTCTCTCTCTCTCTCTCTCTCTCTCTCACACACACACACACACACACACACACACACATACAGACCTCTGTAAATCCTAATTTGTTTGGCATTGTGCTTCCTTCTGTTTATTGGTTAATGAAATGTCTCCAGGAAGCTTAAAAACAAAACTCTGACTCTCTCTCTTTTTTTTAAACTTCCCTGTTATCTTTCCATAGGAATGTTATATGGTCTCCGAACACGGAAGTTGCTTTTAACCATGACAACCAGTTGACGATGTGGAATAGTTGGGTTGTTGTAGGTTGTTTGTGAGGTCACAACCTCTGAGATTCTTGCCATAGATGCAGGCGAAATGTCAGGAGAGAATGCTTCTAGAACATGGCCATATAGTCCAAAAAACCTACAACAACCCAGCGATTCTAGCCATGAAAGCCTTTGACAATACAATGTGGAATAGTACTACTTAGTGCTGGGAACAGGGAGAGGTCTAAGTCTTCATGACAAGTCAATGGGCAACCTTGGGTCTCCAGTTGTGAGGAGAATTATACAGGAAAGCTAAGGGGTACACTGTGTGTATGTGGTGTTTGGTTAGAATATACAGGATTTCAGGAAATATGGAATATGTAAGATATAGACAGATTTTCATGGACCTCAAAGGAGGATGGGTGGCTTCATTGGTTTTAAAATAAATATTTTGACAAACAAATTACTGTGACTGTACCTCGAGAAGCCTGACTTGGCCATGGTGGTCCAAGCCTGGGTTACATCTAGATTGGATTACTGCAGCACACACTACATGGGGCTGGCTCGGAAATTGCAACTGGTGCAAAGGTCAGCAGCCAGGTAACTAACTGAGGCTTGATACAGCGAGCTGACTACGCCTCTACTGAAGCAGCTCCACTGGCTACCGATAAGTTTCTAGTCCCAATTCAAAGTGCAGGTTATTACCTATAAAGCCCTAATTGGTTCGGGTCCTGCTTATCTTCGTGACCCCTATGAACTGGCGTGAGCTCTAAGATCTGCTGGGCAGGCCCTTCTCTCGCTCCGGCCTCTGTCATCACCATGGTTGGTGGGGACGAGAGAGAGGGCCTTCTCAGTGGTGCCCCCCTCTCTCTGGAATTCCCTCCCCAGGGAGATTAGATTAGCCCCCACCCTGTTCACATTCCGTAAAAACCTTAAAAACTTGGATGTTCCAATGTGCCTTTGAATGATAGATCCCGATTAGGTCTGCCC